CGGATGCGGCGCTGGCAGTGCTCACTCATCTATGTCAAGAAATTTGGAAGACAGCTACCTGACCAACCTACTGGAGGAGATCCATATTTGTGCCCATTTCAAAGAAAGATGATCCAACAGAATGTGAGAATTACCGAACAATATCATTAATATCACTTGCAAGTAAAATTTTGCTTAAGATCACTCAAAAGGGGCTGCAGCAGTACATCAACAGGGAACTGCCAGAAGTTCAAGCAAGATTCAGAAGAGGATGTGAAATGAGGGATTCACTGCTGATGTCAGATGGATCTTGGCTGAAAGCAGAGAATACCAAAAGGATGTTTACCTGTATTTTATTGACTATGCAAACACATTAGGCTATGTGGATCATAAAAATGTAGAAAATATTAAAATACATATGTAAGAGAAAACGTTCATATCTTTTTATGTGAAGACGGGTAAAGTGATAAGAAAAAATTAAAACTCTGATAAAAAATGGAAAAATAATAATAACAACTAATATTTACAGAACACCCATTATGTGTAAGGCACTGTGCTAAGCACTTTAAATGTATTATTGCATTTAAACTTCATAATCCTATGAAGTGGGTACTATTATTTCCTAGACGAGAAAACTGAGGCTTAGGTGAAATTACTTGCCAAAATCATGTAGCCGTTAACTGGCAGAGAAGGAACTTTAGAACTTGCCTGACTCGGGGTAAAAAAAAAAAAGGTTAAACTTTACTATTAGTCAAAGGCCATTATAATTTTGCCCATCAAATTGACAAAGATTTTAAACGACAAAATTCAATGCTGGGAAGGGTTCCAAAAAATGGCATTCATTCCACCTCTGGTGGGTATGCAAACCGGAACAATGTTTTTGGAGGGTAACTTGGAAATATTTAACAAAAGCCTTTAGAAAGATTCACATCCTTTGTGCCAGACATCCTCCATTTGTCCCTCCAGATCTACTCTCTGCCCTCCCTACCCTGCCCTCTGCCCCAAACGAATTACATCAACAGACTCCCAAGCCCTCTGGTTTCTGACA